CCCGCTGCTGCCGCTGCTGCCTCCTGGAAGCTCAACTTTAACTCCCCCGACTGCCTCGACTACAAGGACCAGGCGTCCTGGCGCTTCCAGGTCTTGTGAGGGGCCGATCACCATCCCCCCCAAGCTGCCACTGACCCCCCACCTGGGGTCCCCCCACCGCCTCCTGGGCAGGACTCTGGCTCTTCCTCCTCCTCCCTCTTTGTTAGCAGTGGCGATGCCCTGGGGAGGTCCTGCCACCCCCATCTCTACTGACTGATATTTATTTTGCTTCCTGCGTCGCTCCACCAGGTTTATTATAATTATTATTTTTTTAAACGCAACAGAAGAGGAGTTTAAAAAAAAAATAAATTAAAAAAGCCTAGCGTCTCCCCTGCTGCCCCCCGGGCAGAGGCGCAGGCTGGCTCCCGCCCTGCCGTGTGCCCCGCCCACCCAGCTTTGTGCGGGGACCCTCAGCCCCTCCGGGCACGGAAGCCCCGGTTTGCCGGTCCTGTACAGCCTCTTGCCGCGGGGAGCGGCGGGAACAATGTAAATACTAGGTCCGTTCCAGTGACCACGATTATTTTTAGTTGATGCTGTTGGGTTGGCATTTATCTAGAGTCTAACGTGGAACAGAACGTAAAAAAAAAAACGAACAAAAAAATAATCTTTTTTAAATTTTAATTTTCTTCCCTAAAAATGAATCTTTCCCAGTCTCGTGTCCTCCGTCCATCCTCGAGGGCTCTGCACAAGCTTGGCTGTGCCGTCCCGGGGCTGGGGGCAGGGGTGTGCAACAGCCATGGGGGACGCCCAGAGGGGGAGGCAAAGGGGGAGGGAAAGGCTGCCCAGCTGATCCGCAACCTGCAAACCAAAAAAACCCAAAACTTTTGGAAAAAAAAAAATAAAAAGGCAAGAAAAAAAGCCGTAAAAAAAGTTTTGGTTTATTTTTTGGGGGGAGGGTTGCAGGGGCAAGCAGCTCTGCTTTGGGGCTGGGGGAGGGGCGCACGGCTTTTCGGGGTGTGTTTTTTGATTTGGTTTTCGTTCTGGTTTTCTGAGCCCCTTCTGTCGGTCGTGTGCGTGTGCGGGTCGGTGCCGCAGCCCTGCCTTGCCCGCCTGCCTCGCCCGCCTGGGCTGGGGCTTTCCGGCAGCTTTGCCCCGCAGGGAGGAGAGGGACCGTGTAAGCGTGATTTTTGATGCCGTAACCCCATGCTTACCCCTTCGACTGTAAGGGACCCCTTTCTTTCTTCGCCCCAACCCCAATAAAATCTAAACTAATAAACGCAGTGGTGTGTCCTGTGCTCCTTCCTCCCTCCC